CCCCGATCATGAAGATCAATCCTCAGCAATCGCATTAGGTGCAAAGTATGTTGCCAAAGTAAATTACAATGTTGACAAAGAGCTTTTGAAAAAGACATATCAAGAATAAAATGCAAAAGGTATATGTAACACAGATACTGCAGCTCTTTTCTGCTCAACAAACTAAGATCTTGCGCTCCACTATACAACTCAATTTATAGCAAGACGAGCATCCCGCAGTTATAACTGTCCACTTGAGCGCCAAAAGCGCCTGGGTAGAGGTGAACGCGATATTTCCTTGGAGAGTAGTCCGGAAACTGTGTCACGGTTCTCTCTGCCAGCGTTCGGTCGGCAAACCGCGTAGGACGAAGACATTGGATCATACACTGAAACATCATTTAGCTGTGCTGCAATCATAATACCGCACCAATTTTTTTACTGCAACGTATCGGTATCAAAACCTTCCCGGATTTCGCGCTGGAAAAAGCATCCCCAAAGACGCCCAAATCGACCGATGGAGTGACTTCCTCGATAAATTCGATCACGTCAGGGCTTAACGACATAGACGTCGTTTCTTGACCCGAACAACGCTTCCAAGACGGCATTAACTGTATCATCACTTAGTTGTGTTTTGCCGATAAGATCCAGTATCTCCGACAAAAACAAGAATTAAAACATACTTTCGTAAGTTGACGAGCTATACGTACCTACTTACCTTTCTAGACATGAGCGGGATGGCTTTTATCTTCGTCAATAGGTCCGTGTGCTGCGCCACTATGATATAGAATTGTGAAGTCAGCAGTGCTGACCCACGTCATAGCCTTCTCAACAAGCTTAAGTGACTTCATCGCTGCGTGCCACTGTTTCATAATCCGCAAGGTATCCGCTGAGTACACACCAAGGCGAGTAATATCTAGAACCACCTTATAATCAGCCAATCTCCTAAGCTGTTTCTGCAGAGCTACAGCCTTCCGATTACAGATGTTAGTATGCTCTGTGCAAAGCATTCTCGAAATTGAATCCAGAGGTACCACCGCATTGGTTGGAGGGAGGCTCGAAATCGCTCGCGCAGCTGGGGCCTTGAATCTGAATCCATTTTCAACCGTTTTGAACTGGCAAAGCACACCAGTCAAACATTCATAAGTAGCTGTATTAGCTAGTGCATCTATGATTGACGACTCAAGTCAGAGTGATACAATCCCGAGTCTTCAGCAGCAGCAACGATTGCCTTTTATCGAGCGCCCTTTTTTGATCTGATCGATTGTTTAGGCTCGCCCGCGTGAGAGAGGAGGGCTGGCAATGACAAATGGCGTGTTATCACCGGCGTACTTCAGATTTGTCACGGATTCAGCGATCACTTGGCGACTGACCCGACTGTCCCAACAGACTCGACTCAGCTGACTGTCCGTATTGATTTCTCCTGCACAGAAAGCTGGAGATTATCGTGTCGTGTCGTGTTCACCTTAAGGCTTGACGAAAGATCCATCAGTTGATCATTTAGACATGGATTCATCTCTGGTATAGGATCTTCAAACTGACTCCTCTTAAAGTAAACCGCCACCTGGTATGGTGCAATACAGAATGGCGATGCAGATACAAGTGCAGATACTTGTAGATACAAGTGCAAATACAAGTGCAGATACTTGCATCGCCATTATGTATTGCACCATACCAGGTGGCGGTTTACTTTAAGAGGGGTCAGCTTGCATCGCCATTTTGTATTGCACCATACCAAGCCCCAGACATGGTATCGCATATTTCGGAGACAATTGGCAGGGCTTTGCGTAACTTGCGGTTTGTATCCCAGGGCCTCTCGTGTATAAATATAACACTTTTCACTTCGAAAGAAATTGGTACGATCGCACCACTGGTTAAGCTCGTGTTTTCGATGGCCGACCGACCAACCACCTCTTGTTTAGCGAGTGCACTGTGATTACCGTATCTTTATCCAGCACTTTCGTATGATAAAAGACATACCAACACGGCAGGAATCTCGTGGCCGTGAAAACCATGAGAATGTCCAGTCGCGCATTGTTACAGAGCGTTCTGAGTTAATCTCGTCCAAAGCATCGTCGTGCCGGCACGTACTCATGATAAAATACATACGTGGATAGCTTTCAAAATACGTGTACATGTAAGATGCGCGCCCAAGTGCGTAATAATACGGCCTGTAAATCAGCTCGCAAGCGTTCTGACTAACAGTATTGGCAGCCAAATTCATTTCCAGATCGTAATCTGAATGCTGAACTCTCACATCTTCGAACACTTCGCCGATAAATCTCTTCTCCCGAGAGATTGATAATACATTATGGACGCGATGCACTCGTCAACAGCTGTGAAATAGTCCCCATATTTTGAGTTGTTTCTAGGAGGCATTTAAACGGTTGTTAGTGCTGCTGCCCAGTGTCACCATATTCTGCTTATTATGGGCACAGGTCAAATTACGATAATTATCCCAATTGCGCTGAAATAATTTAGAAACGGTTGATCTTCAGCATCCACCGTAGTTGCTCCCCCGACTGACCCCTAATCGTTTCCGACCGAGCCCTATTCATATTCACATGACACAACAGCCGGAACTGATAATCCAGTAGAAGCGATATGAGCCATATACTAAAGTGCTTGTCCTACTCTGCCTCCGTTTTTGAGTACCCTAGTAGACCCATTACTGCACTAAGCTGTTCCTTCTGCGACTTAGCGAATTCATAGTCGCTAGAAGAAATCTCTTCACGCAGATATTTAAGCGCGTGGAATTGAAAAAGTAAAAATGCTAACCCCAGGAAATGCATCCTTCATAATCGAGATCTACGTGAAATCTTTATCCACCAAAATACATTGTAGTCGCGAGCAAGCCGGATTCTTCGATTTGAACTCTCTCATCGCCGTCAGTAGAGTCACGTATTGCTCGTTTTGAAGAAGTGTGTGCTGTACAGACTGGCCCCGACCGAACGTGTCATGGGCCATAAACAAAAAATATATTGTACTTGGATAGGTTTGTCCCATGCGTGGTATCGATAAGAAGCACTTCTGGAAATCGATCGTACAGTATTCTCATAAGTCTGATATGAAGTGTGATACAGGTTTAAACTTTCTAAAAACTCAGCGCACAGCAACGAAACTGCTATCTCGTATTTCGATTTGAGCGAGACGAAGATTAATTCGTTTACCTTTTGGTTTACGTCGTCAAGGAAAAATTTCGTCCACCATTTTCCGGCTGATCACCAAAATGCTTCATCCACTTATGCAAACGCTTGCCACTGTTACTAGGACCGTCCATGGCCTCGCGAGTCATCAGCTTCCTGGCAAGATTGTGTACGTCCTGGGCGTTTGGGTTACAGTCTGAATGTTCAGTGATGAATTTGATGATACTTGATTATTTTGCACCAGCTTTTTTGAGAACATTGACTGTATGCAAGGCAGCTTCATCTAGAGCCAGACGATTATAAGTATGGACTCAATAGAAATGATTAGAAAGCCGATGTCTGTACTCCAGTTCGCCCTTAGTTTTCTGATCGCAAACGTCTTCTTCTTCTTGTCCACGACCAAGACACAAGTATTTTATCTGCAAATGTTTCAAGTTTCAATAACAGACCATTACCGTTATGCTACCACATAATGAAACAGCTCATACTGAGACCGACTGTCTTCGATTAGACCAGATTGGATTCAACTGGATCATTTAACCCCGACCGAACCCGACAGAACCCGACTGAGGCCAGCTATACCTGTGCCAAGCAAATCTTTGCACGAGATGCCGTGACCGCTTACTCGAGGCTTAGACGTTGTACTTGCCGTGATGCGTGCTGACGAATGTCTTAGCATACTGAATCTAGGTCTGAGGGATCTTGACCGCCTTCGAGTGCTTCTTGTCAATTCATGCGTTGCACTCAGTCGCTGTAGTATTTATACGAGACTTGAAGGCCTAAAACACGTAACTAAATAGCGCCGTTTGTAGACGAATGAGCAAACAATAATGAAAACACCAAATCGGTTGGCTACCGTACCTGGAATGACTGGACCTCGAAGACAGCCACGTATGCCTCAAAGGCCTCCCAAGCCGAAAACTGCATATTCTGCAGCGAAGGGGCTACCACACAAAACGATCCTCAGCTCCCGCTGCTTGTTATCTCCAGCCCTTCTCCGCTACTCGCACCCTCTTTCGACTCTTCCGTCGATTGGCCTTCAATCAAAGGCGCCAAAAGTGGTATTGGCTGCCCGACATCGTCCCGGAAGACGTCCGATGCACCGCTCTCGCTGTCGTCGGTGTCCCATACAACCAGAGGGCGCTTGCTCGCGCCGCGTGCTCGCTGGTATCCTCCAAGGACAAAACGTGAAACAGGGCCCTAATGGCAAACATATGTACTTGGTTTTGTATCGGAAAACAACTGTTTTGTCAAAAGCGATTATTTTTTTTAACCTTTTTTGTCAATTTATGAGCTTTCTTTTAACCAAAACTATTGGTGCAGCTGTGTTCAGCAAGTTCTTAGCTTTCGATTGGCCCATTCACGTCCAAATCGGAGCAATATAAAAAAACTAGCGTTAGAGAACTTTAGTTTCTGGAATTACTCAGGCTTTGGAATAAGAGTTTTCTTCGTCCAGAAATTTATTCCAGTGGAATCCACTGGAATAAAGTAAAGGAATATCGATCGGTAATCTATCCGTCATTTATTTAGATTTTATCCAGATAATCGTTATTCCAAGCCTTACGTTATTCCAGAAACTAAAGTTCTCTATTAATGCTTTTAAGGCCAGCAGCCACTGAAGACAAACGTCCAAGCGCTAGTTTAGATAGGCAGACCTCGTAGTAGGCGTGGGGTAAAGTAATTGCTACCAAAAGACTTTCACCAAGAGTGTGTTGCCATTCGTATACGAACTGTATACATCGTCCGGTTATGCGTTTGTGTTCTTATTCGTCACCTACTGTATGAGATTCTAAGCGACAGTAAAACAGCCAATTGTTCATCGTACCGTGACATTCGATAAACATGTCGGTGTCCGACAGCGCAGTGGAGACCCCGACGATGGAGACACATAGCCCCGGGAGTAACTACCACCGCATTGACCTGCGTACGACTGATCCAACGGAGTTGAGCGGCGCCAGCTCACCTGGGACCAGCTCACTCAAGCGCTTCGCATGCCAATTCGACCCAGGCTCCAAAAACGGGCGTGTGCTAGTGCTGCTGTTCGATCGCAACGGAGATTCCGAGTTTAAGGAAATGAGCAGGTTGGACGTCCTGCGGATGACTCAGCAGGCAGCTTTGCCCAGAGAGGAGGACCCTGAAGAAGTCGGTGAGGTTGCGGACGTCGCGGGGCTACCACTGCGGCGGCTGGGCAGTTTGGGTGTTAAGGGCCGGCGTGCCAGTATGAACATAATGCGAGGAGAAGGCGGAGGGCCCGATGGACCTAATTACGCCACAGTCTGTGACGTTCAGGTGCGTCTTGGAGGCTGTCGAGAGACTTGAGCAACACTTATGTGGCCTACCATTGCTTTAGCGCGTTCATGCACGAGACATTCGACGGATGGAGAACGCCTTTTCCGTGTCGAATGAGCCAGCGATTATTATTCGAAAGCAGGCGATTCTGATCAGTGCCGGTACGAAGAGTGACTGTAAAAAGTTTGGAGATTTGGTTGGTGCTGATCGATGCTGTTGTTTCCTGTAGACCCGTTGCGCGCGATCGTGATGCGAGACGTGTGTCTTGTGTACGTACCTGATGGAGCTGACAGTCTTCTGTCTATTCTCAAAGAGCAATTTACTCAAACTGCTCGAGAGAATGCAGAAGACCCGTACGAGTTCAGGTCAGAGCAAGCAGCTAACGACATTATAGCAATGGACTGTAAAACTGAGATATGTGGTTGTATGTTCTGCAGGGCACTAGAGGCGCTGCTAGCGACGCTAGCCAGATACTTCCAGGCCGACTACGAGAAACTCTCGCCCATCGTGATCTCAGCGCTGGATCGATTGGTGCAAGGAAACCTGCACTCACGAGAGCTCGAGACACTGCGCGAGTTCAAGAACACAATGAACGAGTTCGAGTCGCAAGTGGATGGAGTACGTCGTGTGTTGATGGAGCTGCTAGACAATGAGGAAGATCTGCGCTTGCTGTACCTCACGAAGCTGCACGAAGAGCCTTCGCTTCTCACGGATCTCTACAGCTTCGATTCAGAGGAAGCGGAAGTGCTGATCGAGAATTACTTGCAAGATATCTTCTCCACACGCACGAAGGCGGACTTGATGCAGCAACGTATTACGAATACGGAAAGCTTAGTCATGCTGAAGCTCGACTCGATGCGAAACTACTTGCTCCGAGTCGACCTCATCTTCTCTCTCGTTACCATCAGCCTGTCAGTGGGCACGCTACTTGCTGGAGTGTTCGGTATGAATCTGGCATCAGGCGTTGAGGAGGCCTGGGGCTGGTTCTGGGGAGTTGCGATCACTTGTGTGGTAGTCTTCATAGTGATCACAGCTATCGGCATTTTGTTCTTCAGACAGAAAGGGGTTCTGCAACTATGAGAACATCTTTTCAATAAACTCTTGCTGCTAGACGGTGTACAAAGCAGAGTTTATTGATCTGGCAGAAGAAAAGAGCGCTTCACCCTTTGCTAAGGTGGCTACTTCTTCTCGAATCTCACAGCACCAAGTGTGAACTGCTCCTGGCTGCCCTTGGCCAATATCTCGCCGAGCTTCGTGCCGATAAGATGGTGGTTGGTAATCTTGATATCGCGCTGCTTGCGAGGACGATTCTTCTTCTTGTCCTCCTTGAGACGGCGCTTCATCTGGCGACGGTTTGCGTCAACCTTTGCTTGCGTTGTCAGGCCAGCTTGGACCAGTTTCTTCTCGAACTCGGCACGATCTGTAGGCCATGTCCGCAGAGTGTCGCGCCACAGCTGACGGATATCATTCGTGCAGCCTGCAGCAAATGATACAACACTCATCAGCTTCTTTGTACATGTGAACAAAACGTCATAGGATTTCGTACCGTGCTTCACCATCTGAAATTTGGGGCCTCGTTTGGGTAGCAGGTCCCAGCGATCGCTACTAGCGATATTCCTCCTCTTGGCGTCCGGGAAAGGGACGTCTAAAGGAAGATGATCCTTGTCAAACTTGAACATGTACCTGCAGCAACAGATTAGGATATAATATTTAAAGGAAAGCTAGCAGGCAACGTACTTGATTTTCTTTGACACGTTTAAGTCACGTGTTGACGAAACACTCTTCGTCGCCATGCCAGCAAAAGGAGCAGGACGCGTTGTGCTCGAGCTCTAAATGTCATTGACAGCAGCATTTTTCCAGTCAGTATAGAGGAACAGTACACGAACATGACACTGTTCAGCACCTTGACAGCAGCTGAGACGCGGAACCAGTTGTCTCCAACGCGGAATGCGTCACCACGACGGATTTCGTCGGTAGTGTCGTGGCTGGAATGAACCAAGTAGCTGCCAGCTTCGACCGTAGCAACACCAGAGAGATCCACGAGGTAGGGAGATCCGCGCGAATAGTACACCTCCGCGCCCTTATCCGCGTTCTTTAAGCAAATGATCTCTCCTGTGCGTGTCAACTCCTTCAAGTCGTCCTCCACGTTGACGTAGCAGTCGATCAAGTCTTCGATTGGCATCCCCTCAGGAATCTACAGCAACAACAAGACAGTCTAATTAGCCTTTACTAGCAGATAAATAGCTGTAGAAGTATCAACTCACTCGATCAAGGATTTTAAGCAACTGCATGCGATTCTTGATGTCATATTTGGCCTGCAAACACACACAGTAGATGCAAACTCTCAGCCAGGACCACGTTATGAGTATTTCACTCGATTTTCTATATCGCACCTGGTAGGCATACTGATCTCCTTGCAGTCGAACTTTTGGGTTGTTCTTGAGTCGTTGCTCCACTTGGTCGTCCATGGTGAGGTCCTAACAGAATCCCCAGCAGTCAGTGCAACTCTGCCACCATGTTATCAAGGAGATTGCTGCTACATACGACGCCTGTGTGCTTGAATATGTCGGTCACAGACACAGGCTTGTGCATGGGGACTTTCCGCAGGAACTCGAGGATCTTGTAGACCTTAGCGCCGTCATTTTTGGGCACGGACGACGCGTCCACTACCACAAGACACAAGGATTTAGTCTCCCAACTTTGCCACAGCTGCAACGCAATAGCGCAGATTATAGTGACGAACCTTGAGAGACCACTGTCTCCTTCACCGACTTGGTGGGGGCAACGGCGGGCGCAGCCTCCGCCACCTGCTGCGACCCATACGCCAAGTTTCTCCACATTTTGTCAGCAGTCAAATTGTCGAGTGAGCAATAGTGAGCATAGTGACGTAGTGTCATTCAGAAGAGGGAAAGCTGCTCGTATGGAGACAGACCGACCCAAGAAGGAGACTCTGGCGGACCTGGTGCTCGAGTTCCTTGAGGCTGCTGTGCACGAGTTTCTGTGCGTTAAATGGGATATTTCATCTGGCTGTTGGTGGTGTGCTCAAAATCTCAAGTGCAAGTTGAATTGTTGGCGTTTGACGCTGTTGTAGGTTCACGTGGCAAGTGTATCCCAAAGGTGGGTGTCCTAGCCAATACTGTAGCTGTGTGAATGACTATTTACTTTGCCGCTGTACTGCTGAGTAGACTCTTTTGAGAAGCGCGTGCTGTACGATGTCCCGATCCACATGAGCCGCCACCCGCTGCTGTGCGAATACATCCACTCCATGTTGACCGGATGTCGCACGTGGCTGGTAAAAGGAGAATTGGAGAAGCTCTGCGTGGTCCTTCTCTCTAAGGATGGAAGAACGACCGAGACGCTTGTGATCGAGCCTGGGTGGAGTGAAACGTTCACTGAAGAAGCAGGAAATGAAGAGGACTATCGGCTTCCGCTAGTGCAGCTTGAAGAAGCTCTCCGAGCAGGAATGGTGGCATTAGTGGCTGCTGCAGCCTCAAATAAAGGCGAACAAACAGCCAGCAATAAGCCGCATACGTTTCGAATTCTGGCACAGACAGTGGAAGACGCTACTTGCCGAGGAACTGCCATCAATGACGACACTGTCAGCAACTCATGGGTGCTGGCAGATCCTTTCTGGTGCGAGGACCAGAAGAAGCAGAAGGGCATTTTCCCAGTCAAATCCATCCACGCAGACGCTTTCCCTATCCGCCTCAACCTGTACATAGAGAAGCAGGAACCAGAGTCAGCGATGATCGATAAGCTGTAGCCATTCTAACAATGCACCTTACACTTCAAGAGGATGGCATGCCCCAGGATTTGTGCTACGTTATAACGCCATATTTTCGATTTGACTTGATACCACTATGAAATGGATTTGAATCCAGTTTTCGCGCCGTCCATACAAAACCACAGAGAAAGACTCTGCAAACATGGTGCGCCTCGGACTGTCGGACAGCATGCGCTCTACCGCGTCCGTCGAGGACACGGAACCTCTGCACGTAGCATCGCACCGTCGTCCACCACGTCAACCATGTGCAGCGTCGACAGCAGCAGCAACAGGGCTGTCCATCCAACAGCAGACGGAGTCGAAGGCATCGTCTTTCGCGCTCAGTTGGCTGTTGCGCGCTCTACTAGGCGGCGTATTGGCGATCTTTTTGCTTTCTAGCGGCATTAACGTGCTGAAATTGGCTGTTCGCACCTCTGGGATCAGCAATGTACAGACCAGAGCGCAATTTGAACGGTTAGAGAGGAGCTTTGAGCTGCTGGGCAGGGACACTACGAGACTACAGGCGACGGCCGGCAATTTCCTGCAGATCTGCCAGAAGGCGCAAGTGGCAGCCTCGACGAGGACAAGAATGCTGCAGAACATGGCTCAGAGTAGATTTAACGAGCAGACAAAGACGCACATTGAGGAGCACGAACAGGTTATGAAGGAGGTGATGCAGTACTACGCGCAGCAAGAGCAACAGGTGCTGGAGGCGAGTGATCGACTCATGAAGTTGAATGTCACACTGCCCGTGCACATCGCAGCGAGAAAAGTGCCCGAGACCTGGCTGCAGGACGAGCAGAAATACGATGGAGACGCCCGTGACCAACTGGCTGGGACGATGGAAGGGCTCTTAGCGAAGACGCTGGGCCAAGAAGGTAATTACCAGCGCGTGAGTGTAGAGAGCGTCTCAATTCAGAGAACAGAGAAGCTTGAACGCAGCAGCCAACAGATGAGAGCTGAACCTTCTCGCTCGTACGCGCCATTCTTCTTCTACATCGTCGTGCTATGTGCCTCTGCTACGTATCTGTGGAATGCCGTCTCGGATACGAGGAATAAGGAACTGCCAGAAGACAAGTGGGCATGGTCACCAGTGCCAAAGGTTCTAATTCGGTTGAAAGCGTTGGTGGGATCAGTCGTGGTACGTTCGAATCAACGCTGCGTGGGGTGTTATCGTAGCATCATTCACTTGGCTGTTTCTTATCAGGTCATTGACGATCTGCGAACGCCTGACAGCAAAGACGACAAAGCGTTCCCCGAGCACATCGAGCTCTCATAGTTAGTTCACGTCAAGTATTTACGTCACATCAAGACAGAAGACCCGTGTGTTTATTGAAGTCCTGAATGCAAAGCGCAATCCTGTCCTTGTGGGCAGCCTTACGCTGTTTCAAACGACTTAATTCCGTGGTGTATTGGCAAACCCTTGCCTTCTGCCTTCGGTGTCGTTGGAGGTCCTTGCCCGCAGATTGCTCGTCGAATGAGCTCCTTCTTCCGCTCAAATGAGGTTCGCACACTGGCAGGTGTATCGGAGATGTAGTCCGTAAGCATGTAAACGATAAGGAAGGCGGCGTGCTCCAATATCAACGCGACGATAAAGCGAGAAGAAATGCTTAGACAAGAAAAGTCGGGACCCATACTGAAAACGACAAGTCAGACGGTGGGGGGGGGAGAAAAAAAAAACAAGGAGACAGCGCGAAACAAACCTGAAGTCATTGCCATTAAATCGCTCTAGAGCGATGCATTCCGACATGAAGTACTCGAGCTCACCGGTGCTCACGCAAATCAGCCCCACGACCACGAAGATGGCCAAAAACAACGTGATAAAGAGCATCTTTTCCCACTGTCCGATACTGTTCGCCTTCCTTGGAACTGGTCGTCGACGCAGTAAAACGAGCTTGTAGAACGCGTTTTGGATGTGAATGACATTATTTGCGAATGCTGCCATTGCGCAGAATGGCCAAACAGCCGAGAACATGACGACGTATCCCTGATTGTGTTTAAACAACAAGGGAGATTAGCAACACGACAGAGCGAAGATGAGGGTCAACGCACGTATTGGATGACCATGCGCAGGTAGTCGGGCTGTCAAATACATGATAAAACAGGTTTTAGATATCATATAACTATTGTAAATCATGCCGTCCACTTACGAATGCGTTATACAGCGGCAATTGGCTTTCTTCAAGCACATCATCGGCTGTCATGAAGTCTGAATATAAAGTCAGAAAGAAATGTTCTCGAGCACAAACGCAACTCTAATGAGGCACGCACACTTCTCGTTTTCGAAGCCTTCCAGAGTGGGGATCGATACTCCCAGTGCGTCTTCAAGGTACGGGATTCGAATCGGTGTCATCATTTGAAGCTACGGTATCACACAAGGTTAGCTACCATCTATCTACTGTAGAGTTCTAAAAGCGTTGCTGCTTACCTCAATTTTTGTTTTAAAAGCTAGCGAACGCGACGAAGGCGACTGCGATAGATTGCTGGGGATATTCTCAAACGACGAGTGATACTCTGATAGTGCAAGAAGTGTCTCCGCTGGATTGGCTTTCATGATCTTTTTCGCCAATTTGGAAGCTCTCAGTTTCTCTCGTCGGAAAATAATTGGCAACGACGTGTCAATTAAGAGATTCAGCGCTTGAGTGATGAGTAGTGGGGTAACAAATGCCGTCGACATGTCGATAATGCCACCTTGCCACTCCACCGTCAGTTTGGTGTATTTGAGGTTGGCTGACAACCACGTTTCCACTTCGTCGCCAAAAGGAATGATCACGAACGAGATCAACATAAACCACAGGAAGAAGGAGATCCAGTTAATAGCAAACAGCCGATTGACCATCGTTCGCTGGAAATGCGCGTCCATGACGTGATTCTCTCGCGTCACGAAGAATCGAATCAGCTTCACACTCAGCAAGTAAACGACGATGTCGAGCGAGACTCCAAGTAAAATACCTTGTGCGAAAATGTAAAACCACCTCCCCGTAAACAGAATGGGTCTCTCAGTGTTGAAACACGATAGGAAGGCAACACATTCAGGGCATTTACTGCACACAGGAGCCATCATAGCAGCTGTATACCATTGAACGAAGAAGGCAGTCCCCACGACGTACGTAGCGATGAACAGTGCGAATACCATGAATGTTTGCAGATATGCTGGAATCCGACACAGTGGATTGTAGTAAGGCTCACGGAATAGCACAATTCCGTGAGAATCCACTACGTCGCGATAGCCTTGAGGCTTGAAAGTAGCGTTTGGGTAGTCGGCTTCCTTGAATAATCTCAAATTCCACGCATCGTTCAGCAAGTTGTTCTGTCTCGCCCACGCTTTTAGAAACACGGTGCCCCAGATTGTCACCGTGCCAAACCCGAAGATGCACAGCGCCCTCATATACGCACCTGCTCCTACCCATCTGCAGGAAACGTACACTGTACATCCTACAAGAGCAGGAACCAACAGGCATTTGGTGTAGACAAACAAGAAGCTGAAGTAGAAGGCCACTCGCTCGCCGTAGTAGTAACGCAGTTCGTTCGTGATCTCGGTGGACTTCCACCACCAGTGACCGCACTTGGCCAAGAGCTTGCTATCGGCGTAGCGATTGTGGAGCGGGAAACACGCCATGATGATCGAATCATTGCGATTGAGCTCTTCAAACGAGATATTGGCACCTGGAGGATTCAGCTCACCCACATTGGCTGTGGATGTAATGATACGAGCGATGGTCTGGATCCGTTCCGCAGGAGTGAACTTCTCATCGTCAACTTCCACCTTTTTGACGCTTTCGTATTCTGCTTCTTTGGTGGGGGATTCCACGTCCCCAATGTTGCTGGACGCGATGAGTTCTTCGATTTCGGAGGGGACTTCACCCACAGCTCCGATCTGCAGCCATCGTTCCAGCGCCAAGCGACTTTTCTCCGTTTGCAGTCTTGAACGAGATGGTCGTAGTAGCAGCACTAGATACTTGCGAGAATACAAAGTGCTTGAAAGAACAAAGACCTCGAAGCCTGCGTTGATGCAGCGACCGAGCACCTCCATCTGTCGCTTACCCACTGCGTCCAGTCCGTTTCGAGCAAGAATGCGCGGCGTAGTCGGTTTGTTATGTAAGATCAAAGCGAATTCGTATTTCATGCGGTAGTCTACAGCTGGAACACTTGGTATGACATTGCCATGTCGAGGAGACCAGACACGAGGCGTGGCGTTCTTCGACTTTGCTGTCGGTGACGTATACCGAGGTGACTTTGCAGTCGGTGACGTATACCGAGGTGACGGTAAAGTGCCTCCGAAGCCAGTGGAAGGGGCTAAGTGCTGCACCAGATACTCTAGAGATCGAGTATACGTGCGTTGGCGATAGTTAGGCCCCGAGTCGAGAAGCTGCGAATCGGCTAACCCAGCATAACTCTTGACACGTCGATGACGGCTGTGACTGGAAAGTTTTCTCCCTTCGTCCGTCTCCTCGGCAGTATCATCTCTGCTTGACGTCGACTCGGTTACCGCATCGCTCGAGAACGAATGCGTGAATACATTAAGACGAAAATCCGCTCGTGGGTCAGTACGACGATGGCGAATCACCGATGGTAGCGTCCCTGTTTCACCCCCAGTATTAGCCTGAGTTGTTGATGGTTGACGTAGGCCCCGCTGCTCATCGAAGTTGGAGCTCCATAGTCGTTGCAGGCCAGACTTGTCTGCAGCCGGACTTTTGCCTGGCATGGCCTTCCGTTAGCCAGCGCTCGGCAACTACCACGTTCACTTCAACTTCGACGGTTGTGCATGAAAGGACGCGTCGTTTCGCGTCCCATTGCACAGCAACACGAAGAGACTTGACGCAATAGTTTGCTACCAATAGTTTGCTACCAACAACGATTATGGACCCACAGAACGCTGAGGCTGGCGAGGCCTACCTCAACTCCATGGGCTTCCGATCACTCATTGAGTGGATGACTGCGGAAGCGCTACTGTCCAGACCTGATGATCCACTCACGTTCCTCCAGGCTCTACTACAGGAAAAGATAGGAGATGTATGCCATCAAATCACACCCCTTAATTGGCTCTAGCCTCACCGATGGGTATCTGACTTGCTAGAGAAAGAGTGGCGAGAAGTTTCAACCCGAACACACGCTGGCCTACATCAAGCAATGCTACGCCGCAGCAAGGTCTTAGCTCACAGTGGTTTGTCCTTAGATTGATCATACATAACACTCAGCGTTCTGGTGATGTAGCGCTTCAGCTGATGAGAATGGTCGCATTCTGGTCAAGCCCCGAAAGTTTGCGTACGTTTTGCATGCATCTGGCTTTCTGCTTTGACTCACAAAAAGTGAACTGTCAGACCCCCTCCACCTGTACCCAATACGTTGGCCCCACAACATGGCAATGACCCAGCGCTGGTTCATCGATTATCCAAGATGGAGCAAGTTATTCAGGCTTGCCGCGTAATCGGCTCTGAGCTGGACCCCATGGAAGGTTTGTTTGCATCGAGTTGACTGAACTAACATGTAAAACGTGTGAATACCGCGTCATTAACACCTACACAACTTCGCAGCAACCAAGATTATTATCAAGCAAGCATGCGCGGTGTTGAATGCGGAGAGAGCGACACTTTTCATTTATGTAAAACACTTTTTGCATTTATCCACATCGTTTCGACAGTGTATTTCTTACAAAAAAATCTTGCGATTTCTTAAAAAAAGGAGCGAGCAACGGATATGCTCGTTCTCAAGGTGTCCGAGGGTGCCACGGATATTCACGTTCCATTCGGAAAGGTAACAGAGCTCGATCAATCGTGACATTGGTGAGTAGAATTGTTAACTAACCATAGCTTGGTCTCGGTGAGTAGGGAATTGCTGGTACCGTGGCTGCGACTGGCAAATCCATGAACATCTCGGACGCATATACAGACCCGAATTTTGACTCACAGTACGACCAGCGCAATGGTTACCAGACCCGGTCAATGCTGTGTGTACCGGTTCGCAACGGTGCCAACCACATTGTTGGAGTCATGCAGGTTCTCAACAAAATCTCCGTCGACAAGAAGGCGAGTTTTTGTGACGAAGATGAGGAATTCCTGGCAATCCTAGCAGCGCAAGCAGGCGTGGCACTCAGCAACGCGGATACGCACACGGACGCATGCATTGCGCGTGAAAGAGTCAAAGACGTGCTGAGTATCGTGCAGGATATGCACCGTGATCTGGGCTTCATCTCGCTCATGTTCACCATTTCTACACGCGTCCAGAAGTTCGTCAACTCAGATCGCTGCACGCTGTACATTGTGGATCGTGCCAAGAATGAGCTCTGGACTTTGCAGGGAGAGGTGAATATCCGTGTGCCATTAAACCAAGGTATTGCGGGTGCAGTAGCGTTGAATAACGAAGCGATCAACCTTGAGAATGCCTATGACGACCCGCGTTTCAACAAGGATTTCGACCAAAAGCTCGGGTACCAGACACGAAGCGTGCTCGCTATGCCTCTCCGCAACGGATCGTACGAAGTCATTGCAGTCGTTCAGCTGATCAACAAGCTGGACGCAAGTGGTGTGTTCTCCACGGACGATGAAGAGCTTCTAGGCACCTTCTTGCAGATCGCCGGGCCCATCCTTTTCAACTCGCACTCGCACCTCAAAATTTCGTCATCGCAAAACAAAGAAGAGGTCGGGACAGAGTTTACGGGGAAGAGTACACGCGGAGGACAAGAGATAGCGGAGATGAACGTCATTTCAGAGAACGATGAAGAGGAAGCGTAAATACAGCCTCAGAGATTGGAAAATCTATTGGCAGCGATTTTTACTGAAAAATACCACTGCAGTTTGCATTGCAATAGTTCATCATCATACACTAGTTATTGAATCAGCGATCAAAGCTGCAGTTAAGTATTGTCATATTTCCTGCTTTGCAAGACACAGAAATATAACTTGACGTTAAGGGAGAAAAAATAGGACGACAAGTTAGAGTCTTGGCTTGGTAGCAATACGATCATTTACAAGATCTTCCTTCTAGGGACATAAAAACCCTTACGACCTCTATCCGGGGTATATTCATTTAATCGTTGTCCAACAGGACGCTCAAGTGTGTCACTAATAACAGACCATTTTTGTGCTTTGTCCTTTTTAAATTCTAGGGCAAAAAAAAATATAACCCCTTGGACGCGGAGGGTTGTAATATGGTCTTATGCTGTTCAGAACAGCATAACAATTACTTAGATTCACTATGCCACGAAATCCGCAAAAGCGTATCCACGCCCCTTCCCATAAATTGATCGACTGTTATTGGTCCACGTGTACAAATCCAGCAATTAATTTGGGTCATGAAACAGGTGGCTTGATGTACCGCGCGTAAAGAGCAGACTCTCATATTTTGGAAAAAAATGAATTTTGGTTCCCTTTGCCGCTTTCGCGCCAAGCCACTCATTCTTCGTTTTTGCCAAGTCAAGCGCAAGAATGACTTACTTTATGGATTTCAAGTCAGTATGGCCACTTCTACGAAAGGAGGGTTGGACGTGGAAGCCTGCAGCCGGCATCCAGATCCAGTACGTTACCTTTTTGTCTACTTTGTTGCACCACACTAATGTACTAACTTGCATAAATGCGTGTAGTCACAACTACCTGAAACCAGGAAGCAAAGTTAGGGGAGGTAAACGCGGCACGGACTATTTCAACGGCGAGGATGAGCTACTGGCGTATGTGCGTCGCGATACAGAGCTGCGCGCGCAGCTTAACACGCGAACGTATCGGGGCGCCCGCCTTCTCAAGCGAGTAAGTAGTATCTTGCTGTTACTATGTGTTTACAAAAGTGACTTATTGTTTGTATTGAAATTTAGTCCAAAGCACTATAGGCGCTGCTGCGTCAGACTCTCCCACTCCAGTGCCTGATCCGCCCGAAATCGAGGCTGCAATTGCACCAAAGAGAGATGCTCCTGCGTCAGGTAAAGCGCCGGCGAAGAAACGCGTGAAACAGACATCTACAGAGCAGAAGACCGCAAAGCCTTCTTCAAAGAAGACGAAGAAGATGACGAAGAAGCAGCTTGACAAAGAAGCAGCAGATCGCCGTCGAGAGCTCTCGTCGTTCGGTAGAGTGTGGGGAGGCGAAAACGCCCAAGGTACCGCTTCGTTTCAGTGCTGGTGCCTATAAAGATCTAACTAGGTATTTGTAGCAAACGATGGACTTCGTGCAGACCCCCCTCAGACAAATCAAGAACCTGGTTTCATGAGCACTGACAAGAATGGTATAAGAACCCGATAATATGCTGACGTTATGCTAAGCTGACACTATTGATGATGCCAATAAATCTCCAGTCGGACATATAAATGGTGATGTGGATTCAGTCATCGCCGATAGCAGCGATGGCGAAAACAGTGAGTACAATTTCGATGAGAGTGATGGGGATGATTCTGAGTCTGAAGGTGATACTGGCGACACGACCCGAGACGACGACGGAGTGACGATTCCGCCTGCAACAGTCAGTTCTTCTCAATTTCGAGGAATCGAATTCGGTGATGGAAGCCACTGATCCAAACCTCGTATTGGGAGAAGATGAAGATTTTCTAGATTCGGACGGAGAAGGGAGTGATGATTTGGTGGAGACCGCTGAAACATTTGTGGATGAAAATTCCAGCGAGAGTGAAGATACAAACGAGTCAGTCGCACAAGAGGTCAGTCGTATGATCGGCCTTATGAAGCCAGCTGAAATTGATGATATGCGGTTGCGCGTTCAAGGTGTGTATTGTTTTTTTTGTCGTGGAGCCAAGGAGAGTTTATCTAACGGACATTATGCTGACAGGGTCGTCTGAGATTTATGACACCACTCAGCTTGCTGCCATGGCACAAGAGGGCTGGACTGTTCTACCGGACGATGCAACAACGCCTGTCACTAATGATGCTGGTGTAGACAACATGTACGACGGGTACTGTGGACCCTCACAAGGCGTCATAGCTGCTTCACAGTCACCTATCGACCTCTTCTACTATTTCCTGCCCAAATCGTTCTGGCGGCATGTTGCAAGCGAATCTAACCGGTATTGGAAGCAAACGCTTGAAGCACGCCTCGAGAAAATGGTACAGCAAGAAGGGAAGGTGATGCACCGGCTTCAAAAGAGTAGAGAAAAACTGAGAAAGCGCCTGATGAAATTTGATAAGATTCTGCCGCACGAAGTTGTTCAATGGGTTGGGCTGATGTTGGCCCATGCCTTGAGTCCTCAAAAGTCGTTTGAGATGCACTGGAATATGGCCGAGGATGGCCTAATTCCTGCAGGAACATTTGGAAAAGCTATGTCTCGAGACCGTTTTCGGCTCATTACCAGATTTCTGCATTTTACTGACAACGAAGATCCTGCGGCTTCGAGTGATAGGGGCTGGAAAATTCGTTCGGTGTTGGCAACGGTGGAAACCACATTCAAGGAGGGGTATGTCTTGGGTTCAAGAGTGGCTGTTGATGAAGGTATGTTACCTTCGTTCAATCGGCGCAATCAGACACGCATATACATGAAGGACAAGCCTCATAAGTGGGGAACCAAGTGCGTCATGACGTGCTGCGCCGAGTCGGGCTACTGCAAAAGGTAATGCTGACATAGTCACGATAAATTATTGAAGCTATGCTGACTTAGAGTACATTATTTGATGCATGACAGAGTTGAAGTCGACGTTGGGCGAAAGAAGGACAAGGAGGGTGCTCAATCGATGGACACAAAGAGCGGCCCGGCGGCTGGCAGGGCTGATAACAGATCGGTTTACTTCCTGGCATCCCAAGTTGGAACAGCTATGACGAGTGTTCAGCGCCGTGAAAAGAATGGAGAGCAGAGCACTGTTCCATGCCCGGGGATTGTTGCAGAATACCAGCGCTTCATGGGTGGTGTTGATCGCCATGATCAATTGCGACTTCAGTCGTACTCTATGCAATTAGCAGCAAGGTAAATGCTACCCTGACAATGTCAACTTATGGTCTCTAATTTATGCTGTTCTGTATACTAGATTTCAGAAATACTACAAGAGTCTCTTCCTTGGGCTATTATACATGGCCATGGTGAACGCGTACATTGTACATTCGCTGTTGTGGGAGAAACAGAGCAAGAAGAAGATGTCGCATTACGTGTTCTTGGCAAGAATGCACAAGCAGCTTATCCTCCAAACACAGACAGCATTTACAGAGACAACCGGATTATCTCGACCTTCTACTGCAGTTACTGAACAATTTACTGTACGTGGCGGGCAGGTACTAGTTCAAACGCCAGATACGCGCATGAATAACGGTGTCCAGAGGCTGAGACAGCGCCAGTGTAAAGTCTGCTCCTGCTACAAGCCTGAAGGTAAGCGGCGTGGGGGGACATCGACATTCTATTGCCCAAAGTGTTCGGAGGACAAGAAGAGTGTGGTGACGCTTTGCAACAAAGTCCGAGGGCATCCAGCAAACGAAGGAATGACGTGTGCACAGATATGGCATATCCTGTGGCAGAACGGTGAGTTCTCGCCAAAGGAGAGTCACATTCGGGACCGTAGTCTTGCCAACCCGTAGCTAACCTTGTCAATACACGTACCTTCACAATCTCAACCATTTATTGGCACCGTACCTGCACATGCATTCGCCTCTGTTAGCTCTCACTTGGCCATCCTGTTACTGCCACTATGCCGCTATAGTTTGCACCGCTGCTTGGGGTCTAGTTGGGGGAAGGAGGGAGATGTTTGTCTGTGATGCGTGTGCTGTGGTTGTCTCCAAATTTAGGGCTTGCATAGAATGACCAGGAAACAGTTGATTGGAGAATTTCAAACCGCTGATCACACCATCCCCTTCTGCGGAATAATTACCGAGGAGGTTAGCTACATTCGTTGCTAAGAAAGTGCATTTTTAACCTTGAATTAATTATATCATATTTTAACGAAGTTATTTTCTTATACCCTCCCGGAGGGTATAAGCACTTTTCTTAGCCTATTCGTGTCACACCTCCGCGTCCAAGGGGTTAACTTGAGGTGGATGCTCACAAACGAAGTCTCCAAATCTCAGAAAAAATCTAAAGTGACATTTAGATATAGGGTGCAACCCCGCCTTTAGATTTCAAAATTGGGGCTAAACGGTACAATTCCCAGCGGTTTTGGACAAATAGTATTGATAATAAAAATAGTTTTAATAATAAAACAGTATTGTATGTGTAACGAGGTACGTAGCCCTAAGTGTACCCTGGTTACATGAAGTGTGACACTTCACACTTCAGGTGTATGACACGTCATACTCCGGGATATTTGGTACAAGGTACCAAGGTCGCTCAAAGCCAACCATTGGTCAAACGACATTGCATTTCTATAGGTAACTTATAGTTTGTATAAAACCCAAACTTAATCTACCTATAAATATACTCAGTTTACAATCTACCTTATTTAGGTCGCTTCGCTCTCTTTAACTAAAGAGGGGACCTGTGAACTGCCGTTCACTGAGAGTTTGTATACTCTCGGAAGATAACTTCCTCTAGCGCAAGGTGCTGTGTGACCCCGTCACACTTGCCAATCTAGAAGTCGTCACGAATACAGATTTAACAAGGTTTTCGATGTTGATTTGTGTGTGCCTTTTTTGCTAGAAAACCCACTTATAGGGAAATCTTTACGTAAATTATTATTAAAAAATGATTTTTTTTACAAATGGCAACGAACTTCAGAGAGGTTCAGGTAGTCTACCCGCGGTGGCGTGGATAGGAACGACTTCTTCCATATGAACGACTCTCAGTTCGAGTCGGTTCGGAAGATGGCAGGCATCTTCGGGATG